AGAATTTAGCACGGTTCTTAGGGTTTAGCTTAAGGATTAATACTAATTAATCACCTTTTATGTTTAATCATTTAATTAAACATAATACTTAATTACCAAAATTATTCCGAATGTAAACGGTACGTCGAAAATAAATTTCGGTAATTTCGACTGAAAATAATTAATTCCGACAATAATAATTCGATAACATTATTATATCGGAACTAAAACATAATTTATACCGGTAAAATATCGGGATATTACAAAATTCGAGGAGAACCAAGCATAAAGTCGAGAGTAAGAAGAGGATGCTACAACCGAGCATAACCAAATCTCTTGCGTTTTTCTTAAAGATTAAGAGGTTGGTATTGCTAAACTATTTTTACAACATGTTGTATAAGAGATGTGGAGTTGAATGATTTAAATTTATGGCATATATGTTCAGTTTTTAAGTGTTCTTCAAGCATGCAAGAAATAAAGTTGTCCCAGCTCGCATAAGTGTTTCTTATGTGCTGTTTGCTTGCATTTTTTACTATTCTATGCAAAACTTGGGAAAGTATGCTTTATATGGCTATTTATTGTGTAAATGAGGAGTATATAGGAACAAAACTCATGTCATTTGACCTAGTATAACTCGAAATATGGATTTTTAAAGTTTATCATGCAAATTGAACTTTATATGGATTAATCTCGATTTTATTGTCTTTGTTGTGCCTCTGTTTTAGCCATTTAGGACTCGTTTTCTGAAAATGTGTTCTTCACATGAATTATAGCTTATCCAGTTAGATTTTAGTGGGCATTAGAATTTAGAAAATCCGATTTATATCAAAGGGGATATGATTTTTACAAGAATATTGTGCGAACAGTTTTCTGTAAACCCGGTAGCAAGTTCTTACTAAATGTTTGGCCTGTTTGGTGTGTATTAATGTGTTCAAATGAGCTTGTAATCTTCATTAAAGTTATAGGTCTGTTTTTTAGGTTTCTTATGAGGTAAAGTTCATGCTAATTTGATGTCTGTAACTTGAGTTATATTAAATTGAATGAAGATGTGCATGAGTCGGATTTTATACTTTGGCAGAAATTGGACTCTTAATGTTAGTTTCTTTTGCACCTTTTTAATGACTTTATCTGCTTCTGTGATCTAAATGAAAGTTGTATGGAGATCCTTTAGCTTTCTAAGCATGTAAAAATCATGTCCATATGATATGTGTAGTATTAATTACGTCTGTTTTACTGAGTTGTGCACAAGTATGTATAGGTTTCTCGGACTGCAACTATGTTTATCATGTTAGCCAAAATATGACCTGCTAAATGCCATTATTTTCCTCTTAGTTCTTCATAAAAGTTGTAGATGCAGGCCTTAGGTTTAATTTGGGACTTGAATCATGATTATATGAATTATGTGCTGATAGTTATGTTGATTTTAAAAACGTTGTTTGTGTTAGATTTTGATAAACTTATGTGGTGTTTTGGGAAATGGGATATCCTTGTTAAATGCATGCTTATATGCTAATATGAGCATGGTTGAACTAAGTGATTATTATAGTTAGTTGTTAATGTGTTGGATAGGCATTTATAGGGCTATTTTATTAAATGTAGGTGCTTGACGAGCCGAGCTCACTGCCTATATGTACTTTCGTGACATCTCTTGCGTTTGTCCAGGTGGGTTTGTTATTCTAAAAATCTCTATGTCGTATGTGTTCTGCTTATGTTGGGTTGGTATGATCAAAGGTATGCATGTGAACCCTGTAGCCTATCTGCGTAAGCCGTTTTGGCCGTCGGTACGGTTGTCCCCGTCGATGTAACACAGTTGCCCTTTGCGAGAAAAGTCCCCCTAAGTCCTAATGAAAGATCGTGTTCATAGCGTGGCATGTAAACCCACCGTTAGGGTAGTGAATCCCCTTTCCGTGGCTAATGAAAGATGTGTACACAGGGATAATGTGATATGTTGTGTTGTGATATGGAGATGTGACAGAATTATTGATTTATGTTCATGTTGCGACCATACATTCTTTACATTGTTTATACTGTGATATACGTGCATAGTGGTGAGCACCATGGTTTTCTATTTGTGCTCACCCCCACCTGTTACTTCACGGATGCAGGTTAGGCAGATTGACGAGCATGACGAGAAATGGGGCGAGCGGGTCGCTCCTATTTATTTATGTCTTTAGCTTCCGCTTTCGAATAATGTTCATGTGGTCTTTATGAACCTTGTTTGGTTATTGGACATGTTGAAACCATTTTTAAAACTTATGCTTTTGAATTGTTAAGTTAGAACATTTTGGTAGACCATGTTGGTTCTGAATATTCATGAGTACATGATTTTACCTGGATATTATATTGGTTTTGTTTATTCATGTTGTGTTGTTTGAGCTGAATACCGTGTGCTAAGTTGTAAATCGAGTTAATGAAAATCATGTGAAAACCGAGTAATGAATCCCCGTGGGTCCAGACATGGCTTGGACTATGTAAGTGTTGAATAATGCTCATGTTTTCGAAAATAAGTTCAAAAATGTTTTATTGATTTTTGGAAAGATCTGGGATTTCTTGAAAATCAAAGTGGGGCGTTACATCAACCATGTGAAAGACCTGAGGGAAACGTTCTTGACATTGAGGAGATATAGAATTAAATTGAATCTAGCTAAGTGCACGTTTGGAGTGATGTAGGGGAAGTTTCTAGGTTATTTGGTTACGAAGCGAGGGATCGAGGTAAATTTAGAGAAGGTTGTTTGTTGTGTTTGTGTGTTTTTTGGAGAAATATTCAAAATTAGTCCCACAGGTATAGGGGGTGATATTTTTGGTCCCAACGGAATCCAGAAAATATTAATAGTCCTGCAGCTTTTAAAAAATGATCAAAAGTAGGACTTTTTCAATTTTACGGCCCGGAATGCCACGTGGCCACATTCATCTGACGTGGTTGAGTACAATGGCAAGGAAAAAAATCAAAACTAGTCCCACAGGTTTTGGGAGGTGACATTTTTGGTCTCAAAAGAATCCATAAAATCTTAAATAGTCCCGCCACGTATGTGCCACGTGGCATTCCGGGCCGGAAAATTAAAAAAAGTCCTATTTTTGATTATTTTTCAAAAGCTGCGGGACTATTAATATTTTTTGAATTCCGTTGGGACCAAAAATGTCACCCCCTATACCTGTGGGACTAATTTTGAAATTTTCCCGTGTTTTTAGTTTGATTTTGCTTGTAAGTGTTTTGTAGGTTTTGTTGCCTTGTGGGATGTGTTCTGCTTTCTCCTCTCTTAGAGGAGCGTATTATTCTTCTACTGGGTGCTTGTGTTATTCTCCTGTTGCGAAATTATATTTCTTTTATTTTCATCTTGTAGTATGTGGTATGGTGTTTAGGATGCCTTGGGTGGCCCTATCATTCTGGCTAGTTAGCCGAGTGTAATTTTGTGTTTTGGATAATGAATCTGCCGTTTTGAAAAACAAAAAAACTCATTTTTAGTAGATATATTTATATACAAACAGGCCCTTGAACAAACTTTTTCCTTTCAAATTGACCACATAGTGCTTATTTTGATGATGTTGCATATTTTGTCATGCTTGATTTTTATCTCACTTTTTTTTTCCAAAGACAGGCCACTCTGACCTTTTCTTTCTCCTTGTTTGTCTAACAAAACATACCCTTTTACAGTTGGGTAATAGGCATAATCAATTCGTAAAATTTACTTCTCCCTACTTTTTTTTTTAAATTACATTTTGCATAATCAATTGGTAAAATTTGCTTCTCCCTACTTTTTTTTTAATTACATTTTTTTACACTATATTCATGGAAATTTTGAGATGGAAGCCACAGGTGAACTCTTGAAATTTCTAATGCTCATAAGTTTTGTTCTGTAAAATTACTTTGAAATGTATGCCCCTAGAAACCTTTACTATCTTTATTCGTTCACATATTTAAATGGTGTCATTGTTATTATTTCTCATGAAGAAGTCTTTGCAGGATGCATTGGCGACAAAGGCATCTAAAAGGTCTCCAATGATATTAAGAATGGTGATTCTGCTTTTCTCTGTGGTTTCTGGGTTATACATTTTCTCAAGCTATATAAAGCAAACAGATAGTATTAGAGAAAATAATCCTCTGAAAATACAAGCAGTCGATGGGCAAAATCAAGCTTGTCGAAATTCACGAATAGAGGAACAAGACTTGCCTTATCTACATTTTCCTATACCTCAAACGTTTAGCAGGTTAAAACCACCAACTTTTTATTTTTCTTTTTTTTTTGTGTTATAATTTTTTCGGTTTATAGGGACCTCTAATTTATTGAGTGGCCTATCCTAGATTTTTCCTACAATAATGTACGTTACATGTACATGAAAAATTAGTTTCTTGAGTAATTAGCTAGCTTAAAGCTCAAAGGAAGTTTTTGTATTGAAAAAATAAAAATAAAAATTGCTAAGGAAGTGATTGTGAGTTTTTTTTTTTTTTTTTTTTTTTTTTTTTTTTTTTTTTTAATTCTTATAGAGTTATGAATTTTTCCTTATTTGTAAATTGGTATTTAGCCATTTAAGGAAGTGATCATTGTGAGTTTGTATAACTTTAGGCAGGAATGCGAATGCAATCCTGTGCGATTGTTTGTGATCGTGTCGATGCAAAGGTTTGGGAGTGGATGGTTCGAGACATTACTGAACAGTCACATAAATGTGAGCTCGAACGGAGAAATATTTGGGCATCGAGATAGGAGGACGAATGTTTCAGTGATGTACAAGACGCTGGACATGGTGTACAACCTTGATTGGTTTAGTAATGCATCCAAGAACGAGTGCTCGGGTGCTGTCGGTTTCAAGTGGATGCTAAACCAGGTAAAACAAAATGTATAAAGGGCAAATGAACAAGAATAGTTATGATTATTTATTTGTTGGCAATGTATAATATGAAGGGATTGATGGAGTACCACAAAGACATAGCAAATTACTTGAGTAGAAGAGGAGTCTCCATTATATTTCTTTTCCGGAGAAATCTACTCCGCCGGATGGTTTCCTTGCTCGCTAATAAATACGACAAACAAGCCAAACTATTGAATGGTACCCAAAAATCCCATGTCCATACACCACATGAGGTACTTGTTAATCTTTAATTAATTTCCTCTATTTCGCATCAATATCCCTCTTGATTCTTGAGATAGTCGACACTGAATACAGGCTCAAATACTAGCAGGATATAAGCCAGCCGTCAATGTCACGATACTTATATCTACTTTGAGGTCTACCGAGAAAACAGTTATAAAAGCTTTGGAGAGCTTCAAAAGCACTCGACACATTGTTTTATACTATGAAGACATACTAGCAAATCGAACGGTATGATATGATAACCTTGTTGGGTACTTGGGGCATCAACTTCTCATTCTATTCTAACTAAAAAACAAAGCCATTTACATCTACTTCATTTAATCAAAGTGTTTTTGGTACTCACTTTTCTATTTATTTGTTTACAGAAACTAGTGGAGGTACAGGAATTCTTGAAGTTGCCACAACGAAATCTTACTAGCCTTCAGTTGAAGATACACACCGACCCTCTCCCTAACCAAATAGCCAACTTTATTCAAGTCCAGGAAACACTCAAAGGAACTTCCTACGAATACTTTCTTAACACGGACTAAAAATAATTTTCATAGCAATTGATGGAGACATATCGCCTTGGCGTTCATGGAAAAATACGAGTGCTGTTGGAATCGTGCATGAATTTTGAATTTGAATTGTGCATGATCTTTTTTTTTTTCCAAAACGATAGAAAATATTATAAATCAAAAAGCACAAATGTGCGAATACACAGCAGCCAACGGCTGAATACACAGCAGCCAACAGCTGAAAAAGTGGGAGGACAGGTCCGAAGACCGCCTAGAATCCCGGCTAGCAAACACTAGAAAAAAACTCACTAAACTAACCAACGAAACCAACTAAAACAACTAAACCAACAAAACAACTAAAAAGACCGCAACACGGTAATACCCGAGTGTCGGATCCCACCAGGATAATAAAGGTGACACTCGGGTTCACTGAGGCCAACGGCCCAAACCTAAAACACAAGACAACAACACAACCTAACCAGAAAACACTAAAAACACAAAAACCAACCTACGACTAAAAAACATCCTCCCCTCAGCAGACACATCCAAGATTGACAACGAACAAAGCCGACTGCCGGAGAAGTCCAAAGCACAGAAGCCCCGCTCACCACTGTCGAAGGCCTAGCGAACCCGGAGACCCAAGCCCCGAAATGAATCCAGAAGCCGACCCTCTCTCCTACCGCAGGAACAACCCACTTCCCCGACCCGACAAACATCGGAAGCCAGGACAGCAACCCAAACTCCAGACACAGAGCCGGGGATTAGGCAGTTCCCAGCCCAGCCGCCCTATCCGCACTAATTGAACCAGCCACAACCCACCGGAAAAGAAAGGGTACCCGCCGACCGCTACCAATAGCAAACTGAGACAAGTCGGCGAAACAAGAAGGCAGCCACCACAAAAACGAACAAAAGTCTTGCAAGAAACTCACCTCCCATAGTCGCCAAAGCGCCGGCGGAACGGACCCGAGCAAATCGACGGCAAGAAAGACCCAGAGGCCAGTCAATCGTACCCACTATCCAGCGCGAAGAACCGAGACAATCAGCCCGACCAAGGTGGACAAGACCTCCCCCACTCACCTGCCACCGTCCTCCGTCCAGCCCAAGTCCGTCGAAGCTCCTGTCAGGCGGGCGCAGAAAGGGGATCTGCAGCCCAAGGAGAATCCGCCGGCGAAGGACCGAACGAGAGGGACGAGACCGATTCGTGGGGGAATGGAGGAGCACGTTCACCTACAATCTCGAACTACCGCCGGGGGAGAGCCGGAAGCACAATCTGAGGACCAAGGACGGCGGAGATTAGGGTTCAGAGTCGCTGAGAGAATGAAGTTTGCATGATCTTTACTATTATTATTATTATTTTGACTAAGTGATCAATTTAAAATAGTGATGTAATCAAAGAGTTATCAACAAAGACTAGTATTGAAAATCTAAGAGGTTAGTCTTGGGTGAGGAAGAAGAAGTCACATGAAGACCAAAATTATATTTAAATGAGTGAATGTTCTTCAGATTATAGTGTTGACATTGAAATAAACATACGAATTATCGTGAGTTTATACTCCCCAGCCCTTCGTACGCTTCTGCAACATCAGTTGGTATCCAGAGTCCAGCTAGATGATCCACGATGCCTCCGGGATGAAACAATGCCAATGTAATGCTCCGTTTCGTTTATAGATTTTTCAAGTATTACTTAATTGTCATTATTATTATTATTATTATTATTATTATTATTATTATTATTATTATTATTATTATTATTATTTATGTCATTATTATTAATATTTGATTTAACTGTCTAATTGCCTTTTTATTTGCTTATTAGATATAGTACTGTGTGTGATATTTTTCATTCGTCGTCAGTTGGTTAGTCGTTCGATATTTCTCGAATACAATTCTTGGCTCCATTGAAATTTATTCCAGCCCAAGTAATTAAGCTTTTTGACCCGTGAGAATATACATTCATTGGGAACTTGGGGATCTTTTAAAATAGGCCCAATTGTGTATATTTTTCCAGCCCCATGAGTTATTTACTTGTTGCTTAAATTGATTGATTTCTCTTATAATGCCCCACTTTTATATGAAGAAAGTCAAAGACTTTTCAAAAGTCAACTTAAATTTTTTTGAAATCTTTTATATCAGTGGCACTACTCAATCTAAATCCATAAATTAACACCACATAAATCATACTTGCAATTATCATAAATCATAAATCCACATTCCTCCAACGTTTTCATAAATCTCTAGTCCATCAAATTATTCAAACGGGAACATCTCCCAATCTGAAGATTTGAAATCCCAAAGGTCATTAAATCGTAAATGCCCAAATTCGTAAATACGTAATAATCTAAGGAGTACCTCCTTATCATTTTTCCAATCCTCATAAATTCATAGATAACATAAATTCAGTTCATAAATGCTTAAGCATATCAAATAATAAGCTGGTCTCAATTTTCGACCACCACTCCCATCCCTCCGTCGTGCCCGCACTTACTAACCTACATCCGTGAAGAGCAGGTGGGGGTGAGCACAAATGGAAACCGTAGTGCTCACCACTATGCACATAACAATAATAAGGTACGAAAAAGTAAATGGCATGGTCGCAGTATAAACACAAATAATTCAATATTACATCTCCTACCCAAAGTCATAAATAATCTCTTGTGCACACCTATAACAATAGACTACTGTTGATACACGTATCGAATGCCCTCGCTCGAGCCTTACATCGATGCCCAAAAAGTAGGAGGCTCAACTGTCAGCACATAGTGCTTTAGATAGATAATAAATCGCCGGCAGAGCACCACATATGACTTTAAAGCGACGCGTCCTTCGCAAAGGACTAAAGAAGAGATTACCCTCGCGGGGTACGTTCTATAGCTACGGGGATAACCTTTCGACGGCCGATAGAGCTTAAATCGAAGGTTACATGTTCACATGCATACATTGACCATACCCACATAAATAAACATTTATCATTCATGGCATAGACATTTTAAATAAACCCACCTGGTGTCCGGAGAAATAAAAAGCAGGCAGAGAACACAGCTCGCTAGACACCTACATTTATAAAAAGAATCCTATAAATAACTATTCTCCCCTAGGAATATCAAAGCAAAGGCACTTAAGGTTCAAACCAACAAAACATAGTTCAACTTATCTCATACGAGTCAAAAAGCATGCATTTAAAGTGTAAACACTATTTCCGAACATTCAACATGAGTTTTCAAAAACCTAACCCGGGCAGCGTTCTTAAACTCAACTTAACTCTCAGCATATAACTCATATGAACATGATTCAAGTCTCAATTTAAACAAAGGCATGCATCTACTACTTTAATGAAGACATCGATAACAAATAGGTCATTTACCAAGAGATATTTCGACAAAAATTTTAACCTAGATGCAGGCAGAAAAACTGGAACATTATTCATGCAGAGCCTCAGTATTTATCGAATAATTTAAGCTACAGACCTCCAAATGACATGATGCAAAACCCAACAGATAACTAACCCACTTATATACATCTTTGCTGAAGATCACATTGGCAAATAAAGATGTTATCTTGGAGTTTAAACATAAAACCTTTGGTTCATAAAAACTGCCAGAATCTCACTTGAGTTACAAACAACACTTCGGAAAATTGACTCTAACTCATAATACAGACCACAAAACAACATGAACTTTATCTCATCACAAAGCTAAAAAATAGACCTATAAGTTTCATGAAGATTAGATTTTCATTTGAGCACATTAATACATGATAAACAAGTCAAACACAAAATAAAGACAAGCTATTGGGTTTTTAATAAAAACTGCTTGCTCGACAATTTTGCAAAAATCATAACTTATTCGTTTCAAATTGGAATCACGTGATTTTAAAGCCCAGAGAAAGCCAACAGAAAATGTTACATATCATATGAAGACCAGATTTTCTTAAAACGAGTATTTCATGGTCATTACAGCAGTACCACAGAAAAATAAAAATCACAGTATTTCATGGACTTCATTTATATAATCCCAAATCCAAAATAACTTAACGAAACCAAATCAAAGCATCATATAACTACCATAAGACGCATATAACAAAAGAGACGAGTCACTACCAGCATGTTCGGTTAATCACTTCAACTCATTATTCAAATAAACTCATACTCTCATCACATAAAACGATTTATTGAACCCTAGTCATGCAATAACCATCAAGTTCAATCATATCACTAATAACACATAAATAAACGGAAGGGGAATCGAGCCTCGGTGTCATTATCGGGAAAGACACTCGAAAACGAGTAGAAAAGAGGCTATACGGGGCTGAACGTGCGCGTGCGGGGACACGTCGGGACACGCGACCAAGAAGTGAGCGACTAGCGGCGAATTGGAACTCACCAGGACCTGCGCGCGGGAATGAGCATGCGACGGGGCAGCGACGTGCGATTGCTTCAGCGGGAGAACGATGGTGACGATGATGGTTCACGCGACGACAAAGGAACGCCGGAAAAAGGGGACTCGCCGATGGTGTTGGTGATGGAGTACGCTGGTAGTGATGGATTTTTAGGATTTTTCCTTCAAAGTCTAATCATAAGAGATGAGAGGAAGAAGCGTACGAGAGAGGAGGGAGCAGATGTGGTTTGCGGTGTGAGGGAGTGGAGAGGGATGGGTTCAAATAGAGTCTAGGTCTTGGAGTCCTCTAGGTCTAGGAATTACCATTTAGGGTGCAAGACGGAGGGCTGGAGTGGCT